AGAGAGAGAGAGAGAGAGAGAGAGAGAGAGAGAGAGAGAGAGAGAGAGAGAGAGAGAGACTTAGATATGAACCTATGCGTTTGTATGTGAGGGGCTGGTTAGTACATGATAAATGTAACATCTCTTTGAAACAGGGTCTCAGTATGCAGTTCAAGCTGGTCTTGAACTCACAGCAATCCTCCTGCCTCAGCCTCTCAAGTGCTGGGATTACAGGCTTGCGCCACCACGCTTGGCTTGTAGCATTTTAAATCAATGAGAAAAGACTATTCACTAGTGAATATTGGTACAATAGGACACTTCACCTCATAATGTAAATCAGAACAAAATCCAAATATGGCTACAGTGTAAATTTTTAAAAATGGAAACAAAAAAGCACTAAAAAATCTAGAAGGAGAAAGTCAACAGGAGGGCACCAGCGAGTGAGAGGCCACACAGCCGTGGGATGCAGACGGTGCCTGTGGAGGGAGCAAGCAGGGGAAACAGATGGGGTCTGCTGCCTGGGGAGGCCCTGCAGGCTGGACCCAAAGAGCACCCACGTCTGGAGGCTGCAGGCACGACAGAGGTTGGGGAGCTCCAGAACAGAGGCAGGAAAACGGGGAGGTTAGCTGAAAGTCTGTATATGGAATACTACCTCTGCAGACACATGACTGTAGGAAAATGTTCCTCTCCTAGGCAAAAGAAAGCAGATCCAAGCGCTCACTTCAAAACACTAGAGAACCTTTCTGTGGAGAATGAGGACAATTCCACTGCATGGTTAGCCCCTGGTAAGAAAGGTAATCCCCTAAAAATGGGATTATTTTGAAATCAGCAGACAAGGAAGCCTGACTCCGTTTGTAACCTTAATTTCCCTTTGCCATGTAATCTAACACCTTAGCAATTCTGGGATTAGAATATGGGTCTCTTTCGAGGGTCATTATTCTGTTTATCTCAAAAAACGAATGTGCACTTTAATCTGTTTCGATAGAGGAAAGAAAAATTTTACCTGGTAGCCATAGCAAGCAAGAAAGAGATAAGGATATGAGGATGGAAAGTTGGTAGAACAGGAAATATAGGTAATTATTATATCCAGCTAGCACAAATTAGAAGGAATGTGGAAGAGCAGAGGGAGAATAGGACATAAAGGAAGTATGTTACACACTCATGTGCCTCAGTACAGAATCTATGTTTAACGTCTAAAGGTGAAAAATCAAGGAATAACAGCATAAACTCATCACTTATAATTATGGAGGGAACCACCAGAATTAAAACCTAGGGGGTTAAATCATTTGATGCGTGTGAGTCCGGGTTTCACATGTAAAGCTGGGATAATAATACTGACCACCAAAAAGTGCTGCTAAAATCTTAAATGAGTTAATATATGTCTGCAGAGTAGAGACTTTTATGAGTTACATACTTAAAAGTTCATCGTTATTAATTCCGTCACCATGCCCATATATTTGTCGGCTTACTCTCAAGAAAATGAGAAAGAGTACCCTGTTGCATTTGTCTGCTTGGGCTTCCAGCAAAAAGCACCACAAAGCGGATGGGTTAAAAAAGCCCAACTTATTACCTGACCATTCTGGAGGCTAGAAGTCTGAAATTGAGATAACAGCGGGGGGTGTGCGTATGTGTTTCCAATTTTCGTTTTTTCATAAGACAACAGTCATATTAGATTAGGAGCCACCTTGCTACGGTATGACCCCATCTTACATAATTATATTTGCCATGACACTATTTCGGAATAAGATCACATTCTCAGGTATTGGGGTCGGAAATCCAACATGGCTTTTAGGGAGGCATAATTCAATCCATAATACCCATGCTGCCCAGGGTCAGGGAAAACTGGCGTGCTCATGCACTGATAATGGGAGTATGAATTCTTTAACCTTTCAGAATAGCAGTTTGTCAATATGTATTAAAATTTCAAAAATAGGTCTATTCTCTGAAATAGCAATCTCAATATTCTGTCTGCATACGACACAGATAATTACATGGGAGCAGAATGCTGTATGAATAAGGAGGGTATTCACTGTTTTGTTTATAGCACTAAAACAAAACATAGGAGTACATAATTGGCTAAATAGGTTATGATTAATATACATGAGGCCATTAAAATGAAGATGATGTTTTGCTAAATTTCACAATGAAATGCTATACTTCCCATGGACCACAACACACATATCATTGTTAAGAATTTTCAGGGCTTAGAGGAAGGCATTTTATTTTTTTTTATTTAAAGCAACCAAAACAGGTAATAATGAATGTGTGTTCATTCTGATTGTTAACACAGTGTTACTAAATTTTGTGTTTATTATATTTGGATCCTTTAATCTAGTGACACAAAAATGTGTTTTAATATAAAATTAAATAGAAGCAGTGTACAAAGTAGTATCCGTGATAGAGCTCCATTTATATAAAACATATTTATATAAACATAGAAAGAGAATATTCTTAAATATCACAATATTCAATAATTGGTTAATGTACCAAAATATTCTAGGAAGATTTTTCTAGAAAGTAGAATTAAAGAATACAGTTGTCCTTCTGTATCCCTGGAGATTTGGTCTCAGCAACTCTGTGATACCAAATCCACCAATGCTCAAGACACTTGTATTAAATGGCATAATATTTTCATAGAGTGCATGGACATTCTCTTTTATACTTTACATTATCTCCAAATTGCTTCTAGTATCTGGTACAATGTAAATGATATATAAATAATTTTTATACTGTATCATTTAGGGAATAATGAAAAAGAAAAAAGACTGTATATTTTTAGTACAGATGAAGTTTTTAAAAACATTTAAGAAATATAAGATTGATCGATCTTACATTTCTTAAGTGTGGTGGACGGAGCAACATCGCTGTAGATAACAGCATGTAATGTAGCAACGAGTGTTCATTCCTACCATTTTGTTTTGAGGTCAGGTATCTTTTTTGTTGTGTTTGTTTTGTTTTGATTTTGTCTTCATTGTTGTTGTTTTGTTAGTTTTTTTATCTTTACAATAAAAAATAAAAAAGAGAAAAAACATATTTAATATGCACTTAGTAAGATATAGAAAGCTGACCATATTTTAATTTCCAACATTAATTCATCCATGTCTTCTTAATTTTCCTTTCATGAACGTGATGGATTGCCCATTTGATTACGACGGGACAGTGGTTTAACTGAGGAAAACGGGCCAATGATTGAGCTCAGAAGTTGATTTGAGATAGGTAGTACAGAGGAGGGATGAGGATTTCTAAATCCTTTTTGTCCTTCAAATCCACTCGCAATGTTACCATTTTCAGGTCCCTACCCCTAGTCGGGGGGCACCCAGGATAGGGGAGAGACAAGATCACACGCTGTGACACCTCGAGATAATGGCATATGTCCAGATAATGAAACAAAAGGACACGGGTACCCTACTTCATATGTCATCGTGGATTCTCAGCGGCCAGTGTGGCTTGCAAGATAATTCTGAAAGCTTCCATCTTCCCACAACAGAACTATTATGTAATATGTGGGCCCTGGAATAGATCCCATCCAGCCAAGCACTCCAAACTTGCTTGCGTTTTCAGGATGCCACCTTCCCTAGGCTCCTAGAAGCTCTCAGTTTACAAACGGACAAATTTTAAGGCTACAGAAGGAGGATCTAGTTCCATTTGTTTGTATCTAAGAATTAGCTATTGGGAAGACCTGGCAGGTTTTACCAAGCAACATGTTTTTCTGAAGGAGGTGATCTGTTTGAGAAAACAATTCCATGGCTACTACCCAGCCATGTTCTGACCTCAGATGGGATTATGAACTTGTGACCTCACCATTGGCTGAGTTTTGATCCTATTTCATGTAAGCATTTGCTTAACTCAGCCAATTACATGAAATAGGATCAAAACTCTCCTCTCCCACCACCATGTCCTCCCTCTCTTTTCTTTTCTACCATAACTACTTCGACCTTCTGCCTGATTCCCCAAGAGGCAGCAGGCATGGTACTTAAGATGCACTGAAGAGCCAATCTGCCTGGGCCAGATTTTGGCTCTGCCATTACATAACTGTGATGTGGGGAAAATGACTGACCATCTGTGTGTCTCAGTTTCCTCACTGCAGCAGAACCTCTATCACAACACCGTGTTTCAGCACTCAGAACAGTGACTGCATATGGCACAGTTTAAACAAACACTCATTGAATAAAACAAGGAAATACCTGTACTAGACCGTATTATCTCTGTCCCAACAACATGGCCCAACAGGTCATACTGATTCAGACGAGAGCCATCCTGCGCCACTTCCACCGATTTGTTCTTCCCAAGAGTCCAAGAATAAACCACTTCAGCAGTTGTGTAGGCATCTAAGACAGAGAAAGGTCAGGAAGGAAAAGTTGAAGAGAAAGGAAAATTATGGTCCATCATACTAAACTCACATGAGATTTAAATACAACTTCCTACCCCCAAAAGATCTGGGTATGACTTCTGTCTTTAATTGAAATCCATCCACGCAGCTAACAAACACCTTTTTAATGACTAGTATTTTATATATCACACACATAGAAATTAACCCAAATTAGTCTCTTCCTCCAGTGACTCACTGCCAATAATCTTTCCTTTTCTTAAAAGCTCAACTCTAGGAGCAGGGGAAGAATGACTAAATGCTACTTCACGAAGATGGCACAAACTCAAATGCCTACAGGGGCCAGATACTACCTTAAAGGAGTGAATCAGGCTAGTTGCAAGGAAAGTAAACTGCCAGAAAAGTAATAAAATTTTCTTTGATTCATTATGGTTGAGCATATGAGATAAAGCAAAAAAATATTCAGGTTAGTGGTATTTTAAATTAAAGAATGAAAGATCCAAATTAATAACAGCAATAATTAATGATCACCATTTTCTTTCACAACTTCTTTACTACTAATCTGATGTGCAAGCCAGAAGCTAGATAATTTTTATTTGCACCACGGTGTTAATGTCAGATCTTATATTTGGAATTCCAATGTCAAGGTCAGAATGTCCATACTAACAGAAGTACAGGGAAGGGAAATGCTGGGGAAATGAGGTGTAGTTATTTACTTTTAGTCAGTTTCTTAGAGGACTAAGTTGATCACAATTGCTTCTTGATACAGCAGGTTTCATATCTGAGGTGAGGTGCTCTAATAAGAGCATCTGGGATTATAAGGGGAGCTCATCATCGTACTGTTCATCCCTTCCCTCAAAGTTTTTACTTGTTTGTTGTTCAAGTCGCTAAGGAGTGTCTCCAGCTCATGGTGACAACTGCTATGTCCATAGTGTGCTCTATTTAAACATTTTGCCCAAAGCGAATAATTTCTGGTGAATCTGCCAACGAACAAATGTGAAATGTTACTTCCTGAGAAAATTCTGTAGCACTGGGTGTACATTTTATAATAAATCTGACGCTAGATCCATATCTCACAAACTTAACAACAATGCTTACTAGCGCACTAATAGTGATGTGCTTATATTGTACTGTTTAGGACTTTTCTTCAATACAGCTAAGAAAACCAATTCCTGATTTGCTTAGAATGGGCAACATGCACCCCAAATTCTTCATTCATATCAAAATTTTCCTTAACATCATGAAAGAAATGTATAACCATATGGCGTTTATTCTATCTGTTTTCATATGCTACAAAAGAAAATTTCACAAAAAATTAACTTTTCCACATAATTTGCCTTATATATGGTCTCAGCCATTTCTTCAACACACCAACAACACTTCTTCTTTGACATATCATTTATGGTGCAATTGATAATTTATAAATTGGCCTCTATGACATTTGGATGCCCGGGAAGGTATATTGCATTTTCCAGCAGCAACACTTAATGCATACATTCAGACACTAAACTTATTGAACTTTCAATCTGTTTTCTTTAAGATTCCAATTGGACATCTTGTCTGAGCAGTAGTCTTCTCTTATTTGTGCTTTTATTTTCTAAGATTTCCGTTATGTGTGCTCTGTATGGTCCCAAAATACTGATAGCAAATTCCAGAAAAAAGCAACTTGTATTTTAAACTGCATGCCATTCTGAGGAACATAACTGCAGATCACGCTGCTCTTATCCTTCCTGCTTGGGACGGTAATCACCCCGTCATCCAGCACATGCACAGCGCATGCACTCCTCGCATTAGTCACTTAGCGGCCACCTCAGGTGTCAGATGAACTGTTGGGATAGTGCACTGCTTAGTGTTCAAGTAACCACTATGTTGTACCTAACACTATGCCATAATGCCTACGTCCTTCGTGTTTCATCATCTCATTGTATAGGCACAGCATCGGTTCACACCATCACAAGAACGAGTGCAGGACAAGAAGAGAATGTGAGAGAGAGAGAGTGAGAGGTCATACTTACATAACTCTTACACAGTATGTTGTAAGAACTGTCCTATTTTTAGTTATTATTATTAATTTGTTACAGTGCCTAATTGATAAATTAAATTTTATCACAGATGTATATGCACAGGAGCAAACACTGTATACACAGGGTTTGGTACTATCTACGGATTCTGAAAACCACAGGAAGTCATGGAACATATACCTAACTGATAAGGGGGACTAATGTATGCCAGTTGTGGTTTCTCTGATGGTTGCATACTTTTGATATCTGAAGTTTAGTTTTTCAACAAAAGCATGCTTTGTATGCATAGTAAAGATGTTGAAATATTTTTCATTTCTATGAGGAAATGCAAACTCTCCCATCTGTTAGAAAACACAACCATCTCAGTCTTTTCGTTTTTCTTTCAAATGACAGATACAGCTCAAAGAACTATTGCACATACATTCCTTTCAATTGTACTGGAAGCCCTTAATTATAAGTGAAATAGGAGTGCAGATGAACTGATTAACGGCAAGTGATGTTGGAGCTCTTTTCTCATGCAGAAAAGTAAATGATAGAGCTTATGAGGAATTGGCAAGTGTGTGCAGTCTACAAGGGACAGCCACTAATCAGCCTCAGCTAATTGTGATCATGGAAAATTTGAAACTCGTGTTTTCAGATCTTCTGATTTCATAAAATAATAAACAAATCTGGAGTCTTATGTGACATGTCCAAAATTTCAAATCTTGGCAGATGATTTAAGAAGTGATTAACAGTGTATATATCAAACATATTGCATCTACAGCCCCAATTTACAACCTCTAATCGAAAGACTTCCTCTTACAGATGGCTATGGGTTCTTGTGATTCATTCTTGGAAACAAAGTATCCTCCCTGGCTACTGCTGATCTTGGACTTTCAACTGGAATTATCATTCTTTAAATTAATATCACTAAGGAGAAAGATAACCCTTCTTAGTAATCTTCTCATGTGCTTACTTAAAATTTATTTTGATAGCAGTGAGGAATGTCACCGTGCTATCAGTGAAATGTGACTACATAAGACATTTGCCCTCTGTGCCCACCTCGTACTTTTAGTGTTTAATATATATACTTGGGGTCCCCTTACTCCTGCGCAGAGAACCACCTACATATGCCTTCCAACCTTTGATACTAAGTGCCTGTAACATTCTCTGTTTAAAGGGCAAGGCAGTGTTGCACTTAATCTACCCAAGAGTTTTGACAGTGTACACACACACACACACACACACACTTGTTCAGGTAAAGGGTAAATGATCGAAGAATTTTTCTTTACCTCTAAGAAAGAAAAAGAAGCTTCTTCTAGGATTTCTGAAGTTAAATCCAGTACCCTGAACAGACATCCCTGAATGTTAGTCCTAAAAATCTTAGATTCTGTGTAGATATGACAATACATTGTGCAACTAACAGTGCCTTAAAACTTCAGTAGGCCTAGATGGCAAGTTGTTTTATGCCCCCCAAATTTAATATCCTTCCAGATAATATATGGGAACAGAGGGAATTGTGGAAAAGTATTCTCTCTGTAATATGGAAATCAAAGCAGAAAAGGCATGAACTAATGAAGGAAGAGAAGTAAGAAAGAGAAGTCAATTTTTCAAAAGCAAACGGAGTGCTTGGGTGTAGCTCAGTGCGAGAGGACGTGTTTAGCATGCTGAAGACCCAGGGTTCACCCTCTCTGCCTCCATAAAATAAAGCAAAGCAAACAAATCAAAAGATGCTTGATTGAATGTCTCCTTAAAACTGACCTTGAACCAGCAAACAAATGGTAATAAGGCACCATACCCCTCATCGGGGAGTGTACAATCTGTTGAAGGAGATAGAGCATAACAGAGTGCAAGTCTGAGCACCAGAAGTGTGCCTGCGAAAGATCACCTTCACTGCAGTATTAATGAGTGGCAGGACAGGGTGCAACTGAAGCCAAGACAGCCTCTACAAGACCACCCCAATATTCGGGCTGGTGACTCCTAGGGCTTACTGCTTACTAGTAGGCACTGGATTGAATTGAGTGAAACAGGAAATTTCAGAATTAGGACAGGGTATAACTAGTAGCTTTTCCTGATGGTTAAAAGTGCAAAGAAAGAATTTTAAGTGTTCCAGATGACTTTGAGATTCTACCTTTTCCAAGCACATGAGTAACGATGGAATTCACTCACCCTCTGTGGAGCAGAATTCTCTTGCTTTATACTTTCTTTTCCTCTTCTCCTTCCCCCATGGCCCTTGGGCTCCTTTAGCACCTCACCTTTCCTCTACTAGGGCCCTGCTCCTTCTCCTCTAATTATTCTACTTTCATGGAGGACCCAGGGCAGGGTATGTGGTGATAGAATAGTTCAGAGAGAATATCTATGAGACAATTAGAACTGGTATATGCCTGGAATGGTTCTCTCGCTACATTTTCATTCTCTATAATGAGGAGCATCTCCTTGTGTTATGGTTTAGATAGCCCAAATGTCCCAAGTGTTTGGAAGGTGACTGGGTCGTGGCAGCTCTGTACCTCACTTGCCTTCAGGAGGAGGTCACTAGAAGCATGGGGTGGAAAGGTGTGCTCTTTCTCCCAGCTCCCCGCTTCTCTCTGTACTTCCTGCTGCCATGGGGGGAGCAGCTTTCCTTCCCCATCATGCCCTCCACGAGGTCGTTTCTGTCCTAGAGCCAGCCAACCATAGACCGAACTCTCCCCAAACTGTGAGCCAAAATAAAACTCTCCCTACTTAAATTGGAACTGTCAGGTATTGTGTCCAACAATGGGCAAGTGATTAACACACTTTGCCTTTAATTGTTCTGCCAAATGTCTTCTTTTGTTACCTGAGCCTTGCTGTGTGACAGATCTCAGGAAAGTTGGAAGTAAAAAATATCCATCCACAGTAGCACCAATAAGAAAGCGTATCTTTGAATTCACATTGTGAGAGACTGATTATTTACTTAATTAGTTGATTCAGTCATTCAACGAGTATTAAGGCATTATATAGTAAAGTTTTAGAGGTCAGAAGA